GGGAGGGGGGCGAACTAGAGATGCGGGCCGGTTCTGAACTTTTACTCGCTGGACATGTGAAGAGGATAAGCAATTGAATTGAAGAGGATGCGATTGATAACTTGGCAGTCATGGGAGGAGATAGACTATGGGATGATAGGGTCGGATTGCCTAATGCAGTTTATCGAGGCGGTAGCAGACCGATACAGATATTCGAGTCTGTCATTGCCACATTGGGCAAAGGTTGGTTGCAACACTCATCAAATGCATCAAAGGTAGTTGATTTTCGCAACAGTCCCTCACTGGCATATGTCACAAAACATTCCTTTATGAGAATCGAGTAACTACGACTGCAACATTGAAGTAAGTCCTACCACCGAGAGCTTACCGTTATATGTTAGGTCAACGCAACGAACCATTCTCCTTAACTAGAGCCTGAGGAGAGACTATTCTTCGGCCCGCGGGCACCGCCCTTGATGGTTATTTTATTCAAATCACCATCAGATCTATATTAAAGTTGCGGGGTAGACACTTTATAGTGCTTGGTCCAGTTCATCGATACCACCTAAATTCAGAATAAGAATGCCGCCGTATCCACCGACGCCCGCGGAAGCCGAAAAACTCCAGGTTCAAAGCTGGTTATAAGCCTGCACCGATCCACTTCAATATGGAAATACAACAGACCTCTCTTCAGCATCTATAGCGCACTATTCGAAGCCATGGTCTCAGATACCCACATGGTCACCGGCGGCAGTGGCTTTATCGCCATCCATCTCGTCAATCAGCTCCTCCAAGCCGGATATAACGTGCACACTACTGTACGCGACTTGACCAACACGCGAAAAGTCCAGCCGCTACAAAATTTACAAGAGAAATTCCCCGGAAAGCTTGACCTCTTTGAAGCAGATCTTCTCAAGCCGGGTTCATTTGAACCTGCTATGAAAGACTGCTCGGTGGTTCATCATGTTGCTTCTCCATTTTTGATGGCCGAGAAGATCAAGGATGGACAGAAGGATATGGTAGATCCTGCGTTGCAAGGAACGCGAAATGTTTTGAACAGCGTGAACAGCACCGAAAGTGTCAAACGGGTGGTTTTGACCTCTACAAGTAAGAACTCAATCTCCAGAGGGTTACAGTTGTTAACATATTCAGTTGGTGCTATCTTCGGAGACTACATCGATGTGAAGAGCATGAAGGATAATATCTTGGCTGAGAGCTACTTCAACGAATCAAGCTCCGTTACCCACAATCCATATCACTATTCCAAAGTCGTCGCCGAGAAAGAAGCCTGGAAAATCCAAAAGACCCAATCACGCTGGGACATGGTAGTCATCTGCCCCGGCCTAGTTCTCGGTCCCTCCCTCACAGCAGGATCAGATTCTGGAAGTCTGTTCTTGCTTGACGAGTTATTCAGCGGACAGCTTTGGTTCGGCGTTCCCGATCTGAGTTTCTGCACCGTTGACGTGAGGGAGGTAGCTACAGCGCATGTCAGGGCAGCAGAGACGGAGTCTGCGCAGGGGAGATATATCATCTGTGATAGAGAGATGGTGAGATTCGTGGATATCTCGAAGCAGATACGGCCTCAGGCGAAGCGCCGCTGGGTTCTTCCGCGGCATACACTGCCGAATTTACTGATTCGGATCGTTGGGCCTTTGTTTGGGTTGACGCAGAAGTGGATGCGAGCCAATCTTGGGGTGAGATTTGAGGTTGGTAATGAGCGTGGGATTAAGGAACTTGGGATCGTGTACCGGCCTCTGAGCGAGACGTTGGATGATCACTACAAATCATGGCAGGCTCAGAAGATACCTACGTCAGTAAGGTGACGGGATATAGATGGGGTTTAGCGATACTTCTGTGCGTAACTAATTAGTGAACTCAATTAATGCCCCTGTGTTTTCTTTTTGTTTACCTCATTATCTTGCTGATTTGGAGTCTCACTTGTGATGTCGGTTGGTCAAGTACTGGATGAATCCAGAATGCCGTTGTAAATCAGAGCAATCCGCATTTCCAAGGGAAAGAATAAGATAAAATTAAATAAGTAAGATTGTATCTCGCGTTGAATCTTTACTAGGTCTGCCAAAGATGCTGCAAGCAGAGGGTATTAATAAAATCTCCTTGTCGAAGGCCCTCTAGGGTGTCTGACTGTGAAGCTTTTCGTCATACCTAAAGCTCCGTGACGGCCCCACTTTGAGCTAGATCAGCTTTTCGCTCCTGACGTAACGGCTGAATCCATAATCCATCCAAGCAATACTTCTCCATTAACACTCAATTGCGCAGCATCCACGACCCCATACCTTCAAAATGGACGGCCTAGACGAGTTTGAAAAGTCGCTGGCCGCTGAGAAGGCCGAGAGAGAGCGCTCAGAACGCGACCACGACGAAAAGCGACATCGCAAACACAGGCATCATCACCGACACGACTCGGAACGCGAAAGAGACAAAGACGGAGACAAAGACAGACATAGACATCGCCATCGCCGGAGACACGACGACGAAGACGATGGTCACCGAAGTAAGCGCTCACGCCATTCGCGCGACGACGAAGATGGCCACCGATCGCGACGACACGGCGACGACCGACATCGTAAGACAACAGACCCCAAAGAAGATCTCCCCATTCCCGACGAAGAGAAGCCAGCCAGCCAAGACACAGTCGACCGATCGAAATCCCTCCAGCGAGACTCTTGGATGACGGCTCCCTCCTCCATCGAGGTCGACTACATCCACCGACCCGACAAGAACAAGTCACCACCTCCCAAACCCGAGCCAAAGCGTGTCGTGTCCAAGCGCGAGATCAACACTCACATCAACGACATCGACGAGGGCAAGTCCATCGACGAACTTGACATTCCGACCGAACCAACTGTAAATTACACCTTCGGCGACGCTGGCTCTTCATGGCGAATGACAAAGCTCAAGGCTGCATACACGGCAGCTGAAGAAAGCGGTCGTCCCATTGAAGATGTCGCGATGGAACGGTTTGGTGACCTGCGATATTTCGATGACGCGCGGGAAGAGAAGGAAGAAATGGAGCGACGCAAGATCTACGGGAAAGACTACAAGGGCCACGACAAGCCAACCGGCGACCTCTACCGTGAAAGGATCAAGAACCAGCGCAAAGCTTCACCACCTCCCGAGCCCGAACAAGGAACAATTATTCCAGATACGCGCCCTCAATCAACTCCCGTGATGGACCAATCAGCCCTCAACCGTCTCCGCGCTCAAATGATGAAAGCCAAGCTCCGTCGCGCTCCGAACGCCGCACAGCTCGAAGAAGAATACAACAAAGCCGCAGCAATGTTCGCTACAGCCCAATCCAACCCCGAAGCCGTCGTTCTCAGCGTAATGGACAATCGGCAGCTCGCCGGTACACGCAACGAAGCCAAAGCCATCACCAACAAACGCGGTCGCGAGCGCGGAAACGTCGAGGAGAACACAGAAATGACAATAGACGATATGGTCCGCGAGGAACGTCGTACAAAGAACCAAGCTGGCGGTGAAGGTCTTCGTCTAGCAGAACGCATCGCAAAAGATGGCAAGTTCGATAATGATCTGGATTACATGGACGAAAACGCCGAGAAGCTCGCCAAGCGCCTGCACAAATCCGACATCAACCTCAAGAACATGGCCGTATCCGAGTTCCAGAAAATGTCCCGCGCTCTCGACAATTGTCCCCTGTGCCACCACGAAGACAAGAACCAACCGCCCCTCGCACCCGTCATCGCCCTCGGAACACGCGCCTTTCTCACCCTCGCGACCGAACCAGAAATCTCCCCCGGCGGCGCCGTCATCGTCCCCCTCGCCCATCGCGCGAATCTTCTCGAGTGCGATGACGATGAGTGGGAGGAAATACGAAACTTTATGAAGAGCTTGACACGAATGTATCACGAACAAGGTCGCGAGGTCGTATTCTACGAAAACGCAGCGCAGCCCCATCGGCGCATGCACGCAGCAATGGTCGCCGTCCCGATCCCCTACGAAGAAGGCGCCACGGCTCCAGCGTACTTCAAAGAGGCGTTCCTGTCATCCGACGAGGAGTGGAGCCAGCATCGCAAGATCATCGACACAGGCGCAAAAGCGCGCGACGGCATGGGCCGTTCCGCGTTCAGACGGTCTATAGCAAAGGAGATGCCGTATTTTCACGTGTGGTTTACGCTAGATGGCGGATTGGGGCATATCATTGAAGATGCGGGTCGTTGGCCAAAGGGCGATCTTTTCGCGCGTGAAGTCCTGGGGGGTATTGTTGATGCGGAGCCGCATGTTATGAAGAAGCAGGGACGGTGGATGAGGGGCGATCCTAGAGTGGAGGGCTTCAAGAAGGGATGGCGCAAGTTTGATTGGACGAGGATGCTCGCGGCGGAGGGATAACTCATTTTAATTAAAGTAGAAGAAGCGTCAAGGTATCATTTGAGAAGCTAGCTATCATTAAGCGTTGATATGTAAAAGACATTACATGGGACGTGACGGTCCTCGAGATTAATGTTATATCAAGAAACAAACGAGATATCATACTCCAACCTTGGTCCCTCGACCAAACCAAGCATGAAGCCCGTCTCTCTGGGGTATCAAGACAAGTATGTAAAATATTACTCTTATCGCACGAGCGTCCCTCGTCGGCCCCTCTCACGGTCTTTCCTCCCATCTGCACCAGTGACCTTCATCCAATCCTCCCACTCTTTACTCATCTCCATGAGCACAGAGCCCATGACACTCGCGCTAGCCATGAGACCGTGACCTTCACCCTCAAGAACACGAACTTCGCAGCGTCGCATCGTCTTGCCGAGCCATTTTACGTTATCGACGGGGACGCGGGTATCTCTGCTGCCGTGGTGGATGACGACGGGTCTTGTGATATCGACGTAGCGGAAGCCGATTGTGTGACGGCGCTCAAGGCAGACGAGGAGGTCGACGGCGGGGTTTGCGCCCGTTGTGGCGAGTTCCCAGATGGCGTGGGTCAATCGGAGATCGTAGGTCATTTGGCGTTCCTTGTCTGCCATGGCGTCCGCTGCGGCTGCGATGATATCGGAATCGCCGCGTGTTCCTTGCGGAATGCTCATTCTGTCCATGTTCTCGGAGGCATTGGGAGGTTCCAATTCCGCGTCGCCGTGGCCGGGTGATTTGTTATACACGTTCTCTTTATCCAAGCTTGGCGTAACGTTACGCGAGCTAGCTGTGCTGTCTCGCCCGCCATTATTCTTTCGCTTTCCTCGTCGTGGTGTTTTGGGTAATGAACTGGTAATTGAGCTACTCGTGGCGGTCATGAAGCTACTATTTGCAGCCTTGAGGATGGGTGTCGGGAGTGCTCTGAGGATTCGTTGCGAGGTAGGGATGGCGTTGGTTGGAGGGAGAGTTTGTGAGGTACCGAAGACGTTCATTTGGGAGGGAGGGATCCATGGCGCGAGGAGGTGTATTCGACCGCGGATGTGTTGAGGCATTCGAAGGGCTGTAGCAAGTGCGTAAATGGCACCAGCAGAGTGAGCGAGGATAGAGAACTTTGTGATCTTGAGGGTCTGGCAAATAGCATAAACATCATCTGCAACCGTTAGCGCGAACTTCTAAATTGAAGAAACATCAATTTACCTGGCCAACTCAGCGGCGTAGCAGTGCCATCAGAATAAGGCTCGCTATCGCCAACACCCGGTCGATCCGGGGTAATAAGCCGCAGCTTTAACGTCAGTGCCAGCTCATCATAAAAGGCGGTGATGTATCTCGTCAATCCCATTCCAACGCAGCAAAAAACCGCAGAGCCTTCAGAGTCACCGACTTCTGAGAAGGATATGACACGACCTGTTTGAGGATGTCGAATCTTCTGCGATAGCCGTGGTGAGCATAAATAAGACTCGACGGCATCATCGACCGAGTCGGCGGATTGAGGGCGCTCATAACCAGCAGGTGCGTGGTTCTGCACTGGTTGGGGGCTGGGTGAATCGCGGGCTCGTTCATCGATTTTGTGATTCAGTGGTGCAGACAAACGCTTTAGGCGGGAACTGCTGCGCTTGACTTTGATGGCCTCATTTGGTGCTGGGCTCTGTCGACCAGATCGTCTTCGATCATTGCGGTCGTTGCTCTGATCCCGCTTTCGACCTTGAGCCACAGCAGGAAATGGAGCGCCCTCATCTTCTTCGTCGCTGAAGCCGTCATTAACATCGAGGAAACTTCTGCCCGCCACGCTGGTGCTCTTTGATGGAGATGCGTCCTTGAGGCCATAAACTGGTGATCGGGTGGATGATCTTGATTGAACATGGCCAGAATGACTCTGCTTCCTTCGACTTGACTCCCGATCTCGAGTTCTGTGTTCCTCGCCTTCTGGGATCACATCATTCGTCGTACCGTCCTCCCGTCTTGACCTCCTCGCGCTCGATCTCTTCTGCGGACCCGTCTTTGCCAGACTCGAATTCCGCGCCGGGATAGCGCAAGGTGAATTCATCGGGCGTTCGATTGGCAGCTCGTAATGTGACTCTTCACGGATTGCAGTCTCGGCAAAGAATGGATCGCTGCGCCCACCGCTGTGAACACTTTCGCCCGGGAGAGCACCAGAAGACGAAGCCGAGACTCCGCCCGAAACCCGCTTCCTCTCGGCTTCCTTTTCCCGCAGACGCTCCTTGGAACTCATGTACATGAGGCCCTTTTGACTCCTGGTTGATGTTTTCCTACCCCAGCTGTCGTGTGATTGTTTGTGGTTCAGTTCGGGGGTCGAGGCACCGCGACGTTCGATCGAAAGGTTCCCTATACTCTGGGCATCATCGTTCTTGGAGGCAGCTGAAGATCCTTTTGATGACGGTCGGGATGTGCTATTTCGGATAAATGATCGAAGGCCACCGGA